GCATGATTTTTGATACAATCAATAATAAGTTAACAATAACTAAAACACAGAAATTTTTGGTTAATTTTTAAAGAAAAAAGCTTTTCATAAATTTGCAAAAGATTATAGCAAAAAAAAGACATAAAAATTTTCATTTTCATCTTTACCCTTATCAAATTTAATTATTTGAATATTTAATGTAAAGATTTGTCGCGAAAGTAAAATTTATTTAAGATCGTTATTTCGTTCATTTTATTTACAATTAAATAATATGCGAAAATTGATATGATAATGATACAATTATCATTAATGTATTATTTATTAATAACATAATAATAGAGAAATGATACAAAAAATAAGTTCAAAATTTGTCAACTTTCTATCGGATTGAGCTACAACTAACTAACAAGTATACTTTTCTATTATCAATTTTACATAAAGCTTTTTTCAATTTTTTTTTTTTTGCTAATTCTTTTTTCTCACGGAAATCAATAATTTCTCTCTGTCTTTTATTTTTGTTAGCTATAGCATTTTACAATAAAAATTTCCCTCATTTTTAGGCCTAAAGGAATGGATTAAAGGCCCTTTTTTTTTTCATTATAACTTGGCAGCAAAAGAAAAGAAAGAGAAAAAGGTTATTCATAGTTTGAAAATTATTTCATTCAAAGAATACATTCAAGAAGATTTTTCTTCTATCATTAGTAAAGCCTTTTCATTAAATTTAGCTAATGACCGTACTCTCCCTCCATTGATATTCATTTAGCTAATGCTTTTCATCTTATTTTTTGTTTTATTACGAAAAAGATACAATTGATTAATAATCTCTGATATATATTAGTTCTGAGAGAATGAAATATTAAAGTAAGATAGCGACTAAATTTTTAAGTTATTCAATATTTTTCTTACTAATATCAATGACTAACAACTAACTACTTTTCAAAAAACAAAAAAAAAGTTATAAAAATATAAATCTATGAAATTTTATTATGCAAATATGGTATGACTAAATCTCTAATTTCTCATTTTCAACTTTTGATAAGATCTAAGAAATAGATTTATACAAGTGTTGAATTTAGCATACCGTCCGTCGGAGAGTATTGTTTAGAGCTGTGTATACTTAGGTAACCTTGCTATAAAGAGACAGGTAATTTTGCTACAAAGAGACAGGTAGTATTGCTATAAAGGGACAGGTAATTTTACTATAAAGAGACAGGTAATCTTGCTATAATGAGATTAATGATGTCAGTGGTTGAATTTATTTTATTTATTCCATTCATTGATTAAACTATTCAAAATTTGATTTGTCTAAGTAAATTTCCTAATTTACATCAAATAATTTTTAAGCTCTATTTAGACATCCAAAAATTCTACATTTCGTCAAGGTATCGAATTAAATGATTAATGGAAATTTTACTATTTAATGCTTATTCAATTTATTGATTTTGCATGATTGGATAGAATGTCATTAGTGATAAGTAATTTTTTCTTTCTTATTGCTATCAATTAAATATCATAAAATGAATACTTCATTGTTAGCTTATGCTAAAAAATAACAATTGATTTCCTTTTAAGCATCTTTTCTGCATTGTTAAATTAAAAATTTGAATTATCTTATGAATGTCATTTTTACTTTTCTTTTTTCTTTTTATACTTTATACTTGATTCTGGCGAGAAAAAAAAAATCACTCCTACTTTTCAGGTTGATAAGAAAAAATTGATTTTAAACGACAATTTTCAAATTTTTTCAATTTGATCGCGCACTTATTTCAAATAGAAATTTCAATCAAAATCTAGCATTTTTCAATTAATTAATACTGATTTTTTTGCAAAATAATTAATTATTGCTGATAAGTTACATTGGATAAAATGTTCCACGCTTGTATTGCTATATTTATATTAATTATGGTTATTTGTACTTGTACAGTATTAGCTATAATCGATTTGGATAATTATAACTTTGGCCTATACATCATATTGCTTTGCATTGTAGGTAATGGTCACAATTTTTTTTTTTTAAAAAAAAAATGTCAATTTAAAATTTAAGAGATTAAAAGAAGAAAAAAAAAGAATAAGAAAAAAAGGAAAAATATTTAATTTGATTGATGAAAATGATTTAAATTTCAATAGTTATAGTTTTTTGATTACTTTCTGATTTTTGAGAGAAATTATTTTTCTTTAAAAATTTTTATCACTTGCTTATAATTAATTGTTATTAAATATATATATATATATATAATTTTTAATTACTACGAGAAGAAATGATTATGATAATATTTTCAAAAATTTCATTCAATGCAAATGATTTCGATTTTTAGAAAAAAATTTTTTTAGGTATAATGATTGCTTGTGCCTTTTGTATTACTAATCCGAATGCATGCAAAAATCCTTCTTGGTATGCCAGATTTTGTTTATTACTTCAGGTATATTAATATTTTCAAATTATTTTAGTATTGCTAACTTAAAATGTTTTTGTTGAGGAATAAAAAAGTATTTGAATAAAATTGATTATAAATGAAGATGAAATTCACAGCTTAACGATTCATAAATTGAAATCCTTTTTTTTTTTTTTATCTCTGATCTGAATTGTAATTGAAAAAAATTTTTTTTTTTTTTTTTAGGAATTACATCCCGAGAATTTATATCGTAATTCTGCATCTTCGAATATAAATGAAACAACATTTTCAACATCTGGATGTGTGGTAGACAATACTACACATCGATTTAGGTAATATATGATATGATTTGTAGTAAGACAAAATTAGAAAGGTAAGGAAGAAGAATAAAAATTTTATTTCAATTGATATGTAAGAGATGGCTATAATTTAAAATGTAAGCTTTAAATAAATTTTACTTTAGAAACAGAAGTATATTTCACTTCTATTTTATTTAATTTTAATTTTTCATTAGCAAATAATTTGTTCATTTATTGTGAGAGAAATTTAGCATCTTGACAACAATTTTTTCATAATTCAATTTTATTTAATTATCTCTTTGAGGAATGGAAATCAAGCAGCAGTTGCGATGTTAGCACCAGCAGTTCATATCATGCATCATGTTTGGAAAGGTATGGCATGGATAACTGAAGATATTAGCGAAGAAGAAAGAGTTACAAACTTTCGAACGGTATTTTATACTAATTCTATTCTGTTAAAAAAAAAAAAATAATAATAATAGTAATAAATAATAAATAGTAATTTTTTGAGAAAAAAGATCAAAGTTTCGACTAATTTCAATTTTTGAATTAAAATTTCAATTAAAATGAGTAGTCTGTAAAAGAAAAACTCTGTAATTCAGGGAGAACTTGAGAAAGTCTTATAAAAGGTTCTATTTGAGCATATAATGTCAGTTTAAAAAATTGTTTTATAAACTAGTCGTATCTATCAAAATGCAAAAGTTAACTTTTCCAAATACTATATAATTATCCGTTAAAAAGAATAATATAATCATTATGAGCATATATACATTATTTCCTCGATATATCAAGCGAATGAGTGCAGCTTAAGAGAATTATCAGCTATCATCAAATCAAGTGAGGATCACTAATCTGTAATTCAGGGAGAATCTTTATCGATTCTCTATCTATGCAAACTTATGAAATGTTTGTACTAACTGTGGGTAGATTTTTTGGTTTATTTCCGCCAAATTATAAAGCACTCTCTACATCTAGCACTTACATTTCACGAAGTTTTTCGTTGATGTTTTAAAAATTTATAACAGCTTTGAAGAAATACTTCTAATACTGTTTAAGCTTGCGCATTTTTCCAGCCATCAATTTCGACACCAGAAGATTCAGCTAGCGAATGGGATCCTAAAAATGATGTAATTTTATGATGATTACTCGCTCGAATTTCCGCTCGTTTTTTTTTTTTTTTTTGTTTCAAATAACTGCTCAGTGATTTGATGGTCAACCGAAAATTGAAACTTCATAGCAAATAAAAGCCAAAGACCGGAATTTAAAAGCTTTGGATCTTACTATTTAATCTCATACACCTTGTAATATAAGCTTGAAAGTGATATGAAGAAAACAGGTACACAAGATTTTTAATTACACACTGCAAATTTACAAATGAAAAGTGGGACGTTACGAAGTTGCTTTTGCCATGGCAACAGTTGAAACGATAAAGTATGAAACAATTGTGAATAACTTGAGAGTTCTGTGTCACAACAGAAAAGAATTATAGGTAAAATTACGGTAGATATTGAACAGAAAATTTAACATAATCAAAGATTAATACAACCAAAGATGAAATTTCAAAACCAAAAGATTGATTTCACCAAACTTTCAACAATTAGCCGTAGATTTAGCATTTTTACCGAAGGCACAAGTCAGATGTGGATTAATACACTTAAGAGATGCGTTCGTTGGTTAAATAAAATCAAAATTTTGAGTTAAGTCGTCAGGAAAATATTTGAAAAGATTCCAAGTTCGATTTACTCAGTACATTTTATAGTAGTTTTGTCTTGACACTATTGAAAACCCATAAATCTTTGGTGATCTTTCGATAAACATAGAATGAATGGATTGAAAAGCGAAGCAGATCCATATCATGACACCGCGGTAAGAGAAAAGAACATTGTTTTTATTGCAAGCTTGACATCCCAAACATTACTCCACAGATTCAATAACTTTTCACTTTTTCCTGGAACAATTTGAATTCAAAACTAATCAGAACATTATTTCCTCGAGGAAGTAAATAAAAAGCAAAAGGTCGTTAGTGTTTAATTTAAATGATCATGCCAGGTCTTCCATATTATTACTATGGTGAGAATGATGGCGGTAAATTGGGAAAAATCAGCGGAAATTTCACGAAGTCAGTTGAAAGCTCAAACAAAATATTTTCAGACTGCAGCAGCTTGACAGTTCAACATGAACCTTCAAAAATCAAAACAAGAAATTATTATTAACATTATATTTTAAAATGCTGCAACAAAATGAAAATAGTGACTAACGACTGAAAAACTAAGACTTTCAAATCACTCAAAATTTTTTTTAATTAAAGGTTTTGAATTATTCAAATTTCCTACTTGTTCGATGATTCCACATCTGGACGTTGAACAGGAAATGAAATTGCTGGTTGTCGTGAACGTAATCGTGTTGCTATGCTACTCTGGATAAAAAATCAGTGCAATAGGCTACTGATTAAAAAAAAATTTCCTCAATACATGGTAACATGAGTACAATAAAAGAAGTATTTCAAGTTTGACAGATTATTTAATCTTTTGCAAAACCTTTAAAGGAATTGAAATGTACGATTCAAAACGAATAATGAATATACATAGTACAAAGTGGCAAAATCGAGCAATACCACTGTGTTCTAAGATCGAAATTCCAAAATCTTAAAAACCAACCGTGTCTGGCACTATTTCTGCTCGGGCTTTTTCATCTAATCTCTTCAAACTTCGAGCACTGCTCAACTTTTTTGTATTACCATATTTATCGCCATTTCCTTCGCCCACTTTCCTCAATTTCTTTGTTGTCACAACTTTAGTATCATTCTGGTCCTTATGTACAACGTCATTATTTTCACCGTCGGTCACGATTGTTCGACGTTTCTTGGTTGCGACGATAGGTGTTGAACTTGTAAATGGCAGCTGACGAGTAACAGCAGTTTCCACCTGAAAAAATGCAAACTTTATATGAATTCTGGGATTTTCACGAAACTTTTCATCAAAACGTCACTACCCTGACTAAGCTTTTTTTTTGAAAGCCAAAAGTTCCAAAATTTTGAAATAGAACAATAGTGGAATTCAAATTGAACACTAACGTAAACTGGACGAATTGGTGAGTAGTCGCAATCTTCTAATGAACCGCGAATATGTTGACCATCCTTGTTACTGGGATTTGCTTCCGATGTTCCAGGTTTGCTCTCATTATTCAAGCTTTTCAGTGTAACTGGTTTCTCCATTTTCTCTCTCTCTCTCACCAACGTTTTCAAAGGTGATGAAGCCTAAAGCCAACAAACTAAAAGGAAATTATTACCAACATGGTCTTCATTAACAAGACAGTCCGAGCCTAAGAAATCCTAAAAATTAGTCATTTGAGTAATAAAATTAAAAAGTAATTGTCAAATATCATGAAAATAATAGAAAAAAAAGATAAGGACCTCCATCCCCAAATCCCAACTGCTACCACTACTTGTTTGAAAAATTTTCTCTAAAACTAACTTCTTTTCATTCATTTTTCGCTAAAAATATTTATCACCAGATCATTTCTGCAAAAATATTTTTAAATAAAGTATAAAATTTCTAAGCTGTTTTCTTGAAAGAAAAAGAGAAATATTAAGCTTTACCTGCTGTGGCTTTCCTTCTTCAGAAACAAGCTTTGGATGTTTAATGACAATTTCATCAGTTTCATTACTGAGAGGAAAATCATTCACCTTAGCCTTACGATTTCGATTACTTTGTTTCTTACTAACTGCTCTGAAAGTCGCACTATCTGAACACTCCAAAAAAAGTGAACAAAGAGATACGTTTAATCTTCGAAGACTCGAAGATTATATAGAATTAAGATTTGTCAACATGTAAGTAATGGAATTCTAAAAATTGAAACTCCAAATAATACCTTTTACTACCAACTTTCAGGACACTGGATACCCTTGTAGAATGCTTTGAATTATTTGTTAAAGAATGTCGTACAAGTGACTTAGTCGCTGCTTTCGTCGTATCAGTTTTCTGATGCTTTGTGTTTGCCTTATATGTTTTCATTTCTTTGACAAATGATGCTGGCAGGTATACTTTGGTATTAGCCTTTAAAATTTACATAAATGATATTTAAATGTCATTTTCTTGAAGGAAAAGCGTCAAATTTTTGCAAAAATACAGTTTCACTAGCATATTTACTTTGAATCCCAGAGCAAAAATTATTCTTGTTTTTTTTTTTGTCTATTTATTTTCTAATTTTGGTATTTTTTTTCCTTTTTCTAATTTTTAGTAATAAAAGCCAATGATGAGAAAACTAATATATTTGATGCAATACAAACTACATTTTCTAAAAAAATATGATAATTATTTGAAAACTTACTTTCCCCATATTCAAAAAGAATCTTTTACTCAATAGTGGTTTAAATTGAATGTCTTTCATTAAAATTTTCACACGGTAAGACATTAACAACATCCCAATATCACACAATGCCCATATTTTCTAAAAATAAATGAATGAAAAAGATGCCTTAATAGAATATTCAGATATCCCAACACCTTATTTCCGAAAGTATTTAATGACCACATAAATTAGCCATAAATCAAAAAACAGTTTAAAAAATCTACATGAAATCAGTAAAATACCTCATTTTTTTGTTGCAGCTCCTCCCTTGAACAGCTCTCCAATTTTGAATCTGTGCTGTTCTTTACTGTCTGCAAAATTAAATTTTTACACAAAAGTTAAGAATTCAATAACCCGATGAACTTGACAATTTAATATTAAAAGTGCTTAAATTTAATATCTTTATTAATAGTTGAGAAATACCTGGAATATGTTATAGATAAATTCCAAACTGCCCGGTTCTTTTCTAGCACTGAAAATTCCCAACAAGAACCAGATAGATCTATAAAAAAGCGACTGAAAGGAAATATAACATACTATAAATTTAAAAAACTCGATAACTTCAGAAAACATTAGGAACCTAAATTTGAAAATTAAGCTACTGATAAAATCAAAACTCACTCAGTTAACCGCCGTAATTCAGGTTCACATTTAATCGACTCAAATGATGGAAGCTTTGCAAGTATGTAAATTGCGTATGCAAGGCAATATTCAGGCTGATAATATGGTGCGAAATCTAAAACGCAAGGTAAAATACTGTACATGGTATTAAATAATCCAATAAAAATATAGTTCAAACTCCTATTCCTTATAAATTTCAATTTTTTCAATATCAAAATGACAAATCAAATTATTACCTTTCATTTTTGATCTTTCCATGTATTTTCGTCTTTTTGTTATATTCGCATCTACCAAAACACGCATCTTATTTTGGAAATCGACATCATCATATAAACTAACAAGTGCAAACAGCCCCAAGTATTCAACGTGTAGCTGAAGAGCCATCAAGTGTTTGTTAAGTTTACCAAAAAATCGGTGTCGCATTTCAAATTCTTCATCCTGAAAACTATGGTAGCTCATTTCGCATTGATGTGTTAAAATCATAAATCGAACATTAAAATTTTGAACCTAATAGTAATAAATTTCCTTTTTCTCTGAATGACATATTGTATTTTAGTAGAGGACTTAAAACTTACATAACCAAGTGCAGAGAGCATGACTAAATCATCAGCGGTAACAAATTTAGCGTATCGTGGTTTTGTTGCAAGTTTTAACATTGAACTTCCTGCCAGTATGCGAAATTCAGCCATATGAGCTCGACTATAATGAATATATAATCAACATTTTACTTTCGGGATCAAAATTTACTGGAATCTTTTGCCATCAGCGAAAATATAGTTTAAGTACAAGGAATTTTATGCTCGTATGTTTCAATTTGATCACAATAGGCTAAACCAATGAAATTTAAAAAAAAAAATTTTTTTTAATATTTCAGGCAGAACACAAATACATATATATATATGAAAGATATCCATACACATTCACATATAAGCACTGCCTCAGCGAGGATTAGCATCTCATAACCAGTCATTGGATTAAAGTGGAATTTAAAAAAATAAACTTACCTACATGGTTTTTCAAAGATATCGCCTTTTGTTTCCAACAAAGTGGAGTACAGTTTCAGAAGGTTTTTGGCTACTGGTTCAACATCACATTCCGAAAACTGCGCTACGGATACCAAAAAATTGGCGACAAATTTCAGACAGTGTTTCTCAAATAATTACTTGAGATTTAGAAATAGTAGGATTAAAACTAAGACAAATATTTCAATTGAAAAATGGAACAATAAAAGTAAAATATAACTTATTTCCAGTTGTAAGAAATTAATCCACCTTGATCTCTACATAAATTTCATCACAACAATTATCAGCATTGTTCTCTTGACTAAAAATTGTGTTATCACTACTTCGGTCAAGCAATAAATCCATTATTTTCGTCTGAAAAAATTTTCATTTACATTCTTTAATTTACTCGTAACCTTATTTATAATTCATCGACTTGAAAAAACTTGAAAAATGTGTGAAATGACAAACTTTAAGTATTTCAAGAAGTTCATTGCAAAACTGCGCAGCATCGACTTCTACACAAGAGCCCAGTGCTTTGAGTGCTGTACAGCACTGTGGATTAGATGCCGAAATATGCGATAAAGAATCCTAAAAGCAAAGCAGCACTAATGGACACATAATTCTGGCTAACAAAATCAATTTTAGTTTATAAGCACATCATTCTGAATGTAAATAAAGTTTAAAAGTTTTTTAAACGAAAGTCAAAAATATCTGAACGAATTTTATTCCTTCTGCAATACAAAAAGCTGTCGACTTACATAAGTTTAGAATTTACCTGAAATATAATTCCGAGCTTCGTTCGAGCTTGCTCAATGTTTAATAACCTTGAAATACAGCGCACAGCATACTTCGCAGCACGCGGAGTGCCATTCAAACTGATATATTCGCAATACTTCACATATTTCTCAATCATATCTTCAGCTAAGAGTTCATGCTGTCTAATTTCAGTAGAAATCGCAATTACCAGCCCCAGCAAATTTTCTGCTAAAGAGTTAAAAAATGAAATTTGTTAAAAAAGATTTTTAGATTAATGAGGTTAGGTGCCTAGTTCGATTCTAAGCAAAACCCAAAAATTTCAGGTTTGCTATTGAAATCAAAGTTGTAAAATTCAAAAAGTTTGCCCTCATCTAACGTCTCCTCCACTGATAACATGAATTCGTCCTGTTTCCTCTAAAAAAAAACAGAAAAAAAAAAAAAAAAGAAACAAACTCTCAGAAAAATTTTCAATCTCGATCAATTCTACTAGACTTTCAAACGTAGACTCATTCACAAAGCAATGTGGATACGCATTTGCAACTATCTGCAAATAAAATAGTTTAGGATTACTAATACGAGAAAAATAGTCATTACGATGAAACATTTCAACACACTAGTACAGAAACATATTAAAATGGCAGGAAATACCTTCAGAAGCTTAATTAATTTGTAGTAATGACTGGACTGATTAATACCGCTGCTGTCTTTAATTAACGTGATTACTATATCAAGCAACACTGACACTGCGGTTCCATCAAACTGAAGCGGTGAACAGCATTCAAACAAAGATCTTACTGCATCCAAACATTCCGCAGAAACTTTATGATCTCTCAAACGCTGTAAAATTTCCAGCTGAAATGAATAACTTCATTAACACGAGTTAACCAAAATAAAAAACCACTTAACCAAAACAGTAAATCCATTCTCTTCCCCAAAAGAGTTAGCTGATTGTAAATGAAATTAAAAAATATTGTATTTTACCTTTTTATATGTATTCGTAATCAAGAAATCCTATGAAATTATGGAAATGAACAATGAACTTGATTTAATTGATTAACTTACAATAGCTGACTCAACTTTTTGGCAAGTATATTCTTTTTCCGTAATATACTTCAACGACAATAATATCTGTTTGTCATTTGTCAGATGTGTCATAAACTGCCTGCAAGAAATGACATAAGCCAAAGTAATTAAACACAATTTTCAAGTAATTCCCCACATTATTAACGAAGCAAAAACTAGTTACCTGAAAAGGAGAGAAAACTTTGCTGGTTCAGAACTACACTCAACGATAGCTCTAATAACATCATCGATTGTTTTCCCCTTTTGTGGCTCAACACTTTGTTCAATCAATTTTACCAAGTTACGTAAAAGTCGTCGTTGAAATGACTGCTTCATCAAAATCTGCTCCAAAGCTCTAAAAATCTTAGAAATCGCTGAAAAAAAAAAAATTTCGCTGAATTATTAAAACCTCAAGAATATTCCTCACTTTTTATTACTACACACAGGGGAACAAAAGTAAGAAACTATATATGAGCAGTTAACGAATATAAAATCATTTCAACTAACTTCACACCATAGTTGTTCGTATTCAGGAAAATATTAACCAGTATTCTCATACGTTTGCCTTCATCTAGTTTATATGGAATTAAATTGGAGACAAATATTTTCTCTATTAATAATCTGAAACAGTCCTTTTCTGGTATTGACATTATTCTTTACCAAAATAAATTTGTATCAATGGTTCTTGAATTATCCTTTAAAATTTAAAGACGTAATGAGATTGTGAAACTCGTCCCAAAATTTATACAATGAGATAATATTGAAATAAACAATTGGCTCAAAAAAGATACAAAAATCAATACCTATCTTCGGAAATTGGTTGGTAATAATGATTCATGATAGCAGAAAATATGTTAGAAACAGAGGAACGTTCCAAATTTGTTAGTTCATCGTTACTAAAAATTGTACGATGAAGATGGGAAAGTCCACGAATCACCGCATGCCGAACCTTGACCTGAACGAAAAAGTAAAAATATTGAGTATGATATCGAATTTGAAATATCATTTCTAAAAATTTTTATATGACTAAATCAGCATCATGATAAATAATTAGCGAGTGAAAGCCGGAATCAATAAAATCAGATCAAGCCAAATAAAACACATTTCGGTCCCAAACATCAAGTTTAATGCACATTACACTATAATATAATACTTAAAATTTAAAAAGGCACATTTTACATATGAAAGTGATATAAAGCACATGACAATTTATCGATTAACACAAACTGAAAATTTTTAAAAAAATTGCTTTTTACCTTTTTATCTCGAATTCTGTCGATGACATATGTGAGAAGCCTTTCACTTAAGGCTTCAAATTTCCGTCTTGCCAATCCTTGTACCATCGTAAGGACTTCCAAACGAACGCTCTCATCCAGATCTTGACAACGCGAAATAACAGCATCTGAAAATATCCAACTCTAAAATCTTAGCTCATAACGAATAATGTAGCCAAAGCAGTGTAGATCATGAATCAATTCTCTGTAGGTCATAAATCAATTCTCATGTTAAATTCTTATTCAGCTTTAAAATATTAGCAAAAAATAAAGAGGAGAAAAAACTTCAAAATAATAAAAAATGTTTTTTAATCCAATTCTATTCACTTCCAAAAAGTAATATTATACGAAACCTGTCACTTGTCCCCTCAATTCTGGATGGAACACGAGAATATCTTCAGCATTTCTGGTACATATACGACGGATTTCCTCATTCACATCAGCGAAGCGTTTCATATATTCGCTCCAAACTTCAGGTTCATCTTCAGCCATATGAGAATTCTGATCACCAAAAAGATTTCCAAACAGACGAACGGCTTCACGACGTACATTAATATCTTCATTCTAGAAATTTACGAGATAGAAATGAAAGAAACTGAATGAGAATTTAAGAAATCATAGTAACAAACATACAATAATTTTCGATGAATCAAGAACAATCAAAAACTGATTAACCACCGAAGTTACAAGCAGTGCCAAAAGCTTTACAGTGGCATTACATGAGCTATAAAATCATATTGGTTCAAAGTCGTCGATAAAATTAGAAAGTTTAAATTACATGCATCTGATTGACTAATATTGGAAGTACGGAGGAAATCAATTCTGGAGCAAATTTATGAAGTTCGCAAATCAAATCATATAATTTTTTTGGAGAAATTAATTCGCATTCATCCAAAATACCTGTTTCCAGTCCACGTTTTAATAGCTGAAACTTTAAACTCTTTCGGACACAGAAATAAAAGTTTGTGAATGGTTGCAAAACAAATTTTGGATTAGTTTTTGTGAAATTTAATCGATTTTTCGGAAAACACTTCAATTTCTTTAGAAACAGTATTTGCATACATAAGTTCTTCTGCGCAAGTAAAAAAATTTTTACGAAAAACAAACTAAAGCAACATATGGTTCCAGTGTTGTTTGATTTGTTCGGATCAAATCACGTGCCATAAGATAAGCTTCATGATTATTTATCTGAAATCAACCTATCAAAAATGAGAAAAAACATATAAAGCAGTGCTTTTAACATATTATTGCTCAACCTTCAACCTTGAATGTCAGATGTCGGTGAAAATACTACCCAATAAAAAAGCAAACTTTTTGCGGCTGCACAAGGAAGAAGAAAATTGCATCCAGAACAATATTTGAAATCTGATCAACTCCTTGGATCAATTTAGAGCACACTGCCATAAGCATCCTTTGAACATGTTCATCAGCATTTTGCTTGTTAATATTATTAAAAAATTGTTTGATCAATTGCCGCAGAATCACATGAGCATCATCTCCCAGTTCTAGAGCTAGCTGCATTGTTTCTACCACCGAAATATTCTGAAAACTGTTGTTCTTGGATCAATTTAGAGCACACTCCCATAAGCATCCCTTAATCTTCTAAAGAATTTCGGTCAAAAGCATATACTCAAGAAAGAAATATTTCAAGTATAAAGAATGAGAAAATTAAATGAACTGAGATTACAAAATTATCAAATATTTTATCACATGTAAGAATTAACCTCAAGAAGATACAAATAAAACTGATGTGTCGAACTTCCCTTATCTGGAACATTTCCAATCACTGTTGTCAGGAATAGTAGCACATTCTGCAACAATTTAATTTGACTTCTTAAATTGGAATTTCTATTGAAAGAAAGAATTTCGAGCACACGATTTTAAAATATGAATATAAGCAATGACAAAAATTTGTCATTGCTTATATTAAACTCTATTGAATATAACTGTCAATAAATTAAACTAGATGTTTTAAATATGGAACCATAATGTTTTGCTGCCCACTCGCTTCGTTTTTTAAATTCTGCATTTAATTTTTTATCTCATAACAATGTCCATAACAATTTAAACATTCCTTTGCAAACTTGAATTCCTTTCTTGAATCAAAACTGCTTTTCTACTCTAACCTTAAGCAGAGATTGATTTTCAACTGGTGAGTTCGGCGCAAAAATCCGAAAAAGATCTGCGATACAGCATGCTAACAACAACTGCACATCACCGTTTTTATTGCTCAAAAATTGTGAATCAGTTAAATGAAGCATCAAATCTTTGTAGCGATTCGGAGCATCGGCTTCCTCATTTGTGGCCTCACCTTTCAACATTTCGGACAAAACCTAAAACAAGTAATCAAGGTTATTTAAATAATTATGAAAACCAAGAACGAAGTGCATAAGTGACTTTTCCGTTGCATTGTTTCACGTGTCTCCATGAAATTTTGGTGAATTTTTGGCTATTCTTCTGAGTAAAGAGAAAAAAAAAAATATTTCGTGTCCTGAGCGGTATAACATTTAAAAAATAAAGTTTAATCCAGACAGTAAGGTGACTGTCTACATTGTTTTCTTTCTTCTCTTTTTACTTTGTCCATAATTGAAATACTTAAATTAAATAAATGTTGGCAAAATAACCTTCAGGCGCTTCAACAATTCTGTATTTTTAGTATCCGCACTGACTGGCTTACATCCTTTCGGATATTTTATAGTATTTGAAGGCATACTTTTAATAATCTCTATTATCCTGAAAAAAAAAAATGAAAGGGACTACAAAATGTAATAAAATATTCAGTGGATTATTCATCAACAATAAAAATGTATAACTAATTAGAATAAAAATAGATCTCGCTATATCTATATCTTGAAACTGATATTGCATAAGCTAATTGTTATCAGTAGTTATCAGATCAGGAAGAAATAATGATAAAGGATTGATCTGCGGTATAATCCATCTCAAATGTATTCTTCTCTTTCCTCTCAGTCTACTTGAATAATCTCAACTACTAGAACGCAACCGTCGGTACCTCACTCCGACAGGTACCATCCCAGTGCTACCATCTCACAAACCTTATAATATTCGCGCGCAAATGCTCTCATATGTGTCGATATGCAAATTGTACATCTCAGCATATTCTTTAAGAAAGTTAGAAGTGAGAATGGTAAGTGTAAATGATTAATTCAAGTAAGGAATGAATCAAAAAATTTATTTTCCCGCACTGTTTGTAGTAAATTTCACTTTTTCAGTTTAAATTTAAGTTTAATTCTTTAATTTAAATTGGAATTGTTGAGCTATTCAACTCATTTTTATCCTATTTTTAGCATTTCATTTCTTTTTTTCTGGACGAGAGAAGATGAATTCTCAGTGAGAAATAAATGATTCTAAAATTTTCAGATTCGAAAATTTTACTGAATATTTGACAATATTATTATGCACATACAGCATATAAATGAAGGATGAAAACAGTTTTATTTAATTAAAAATCATTGAAACAAATATTTGTGAAATATTTTTAAACTTATTGCAAATCATTTATTTACAATAGTTCAAATGAGAAAAATGATGAATAAAATTAAAAACAATTAATAATTAATTTATTAATGAAATTCATTGCTATATATTTAATATTAACATTCCTTTACTTTCTAAAATAAACAAGGAGAAAAAAAAAAATTTTCCGAGAATACTTTCATTTTGTGAAATGATGAATGAAGTGATTGAAATAGCTCTAATTTGATACCTTTATAAATTTTTAAATTAATAATACTAAATTTTGATTCAATATCTAAGCTTTATAGTTATTTTGAAAATAATATTTCTATTATACATTTGTGAATGACATACATTTTCTTTGTATATTAAATCAAATTTAAAATTTATTATGAATTAAAAAGAGATCATACATTTGAGGTTAAATTTAAAATTTTAGGTTAAAACATTTGAAATTGTAATTTTGATCTGATTCAAAATTTGATCCAAAATTCCATTAAAATTTTTCTTATCGAATATCCATAAGTAAATAGTGTTGAGCTTATCGTTAGCTATAGCCATGAATAATTTGTGGTACTCGCGGTTGTGTCAACTGAGTAAATCGCAACAATGATTCTTTGTTATTCGACAAATTGCCAACATCAAAATAAATTCGACTGCTAGGATTCAAAAAGACTGAAAATTAGGGAACAGATATTAAATTCATTTTTAAGAAATTCAAAAAAAAAAACTTATGATCAAATGCAAATATTTGAATATCCATGTAAAATGTGTCATCAAAATGTCAAATAATCAAATTTATTTTTCTTTTTTTCCCCTCTTTTTTTTTTGATTTTTTAAATTTATTAACACTCAAAATAGCATTGTTTTAATGATTCTTGTAGTATCTAATATTATATTAAGGGTCTATAAATTTCTCAATTTGAATCATTTCATAAAATACAGAAATTATTAAAATATATTTTCATTAAATATATAATTTCATAGATTTCATGGAATATAATAATTTCATAAAATATAGTAATATAGATTATTAAGAAAATTAGTTTGCTTATAGTATCACAAAGTGTAATTCAATTTGCTTACATATATGTAAGATTAAAATTTAAATTTAATAATGTCAAAAAAAAAAAAAAAGGAAAGGAACCTGATGCTGTATGATTATTATTTCTCATCAGTGTACTTAATTCTGTTGGCTTTGTAGTTTGCATAATTTCTTCATTATTTTTTCTTCTTGAATTTTTCCGCTTCATTTTACGTCGATAACAACCGGATACTGTGCAAGCGATCAGTAACATTAATAATCCTATTAGAAAACTCAGAAGAAGACAGAGTAAAACTTTCTCTTTGTTATCTGAAATAAACTTTTTTTTTTTTTTTTTTCAAAATACAATCACTAAAATAAAGTTTAAAGTTTTAAGTGCAAAATTTTAATAATATTTTAAAATTTTAGTTAAACATTAGCAAACTTATGAAAAAGAAAAAAAAAAAAAAGTATACAAATTTTCAGAAATTTTGCTAATACTAATAATATAATCAAATTAACCTTTTATTGCTCGTACTATTAACATACAATCATGTATGAAGCCGAAAGCATTGAAATGATATGCATTATTTGATGAAGTTAGATCAGTTGAAGTTGAAGTCACTGCGACAAATGCGCTTTCCTCATCTAACTCCTCGTAACTGTTTGCCGATAACGAACTCAAGATAACGTTTACTAAAATTTTCAAAAGGAAAAAAAAAAAAAACTAATAAAATTTATATTGAAATATGGACATGAAAAGAATTATCACATTTCAAATTTATAGAAAAAAAAAAGATAATTAGAAGAATTCATGATAAAATAGATAATTTTTACCATTTTTATTCTTTTGAATAGGTCTGTATCCGAGATTTGGATCATCTTTAATATGAAATGTTCGTTCATTGTCTTTTACAAGCACTGTTTCTGCTTTCTGTAATTTCCTTGGTGATAAATCCTATAATATTTAATAAATACTAAGCAAAAATGACAAAAAAAAAATAAAGTTAAACTACTAATTTAACAATTTGAAATAGATATATGACACTATTTTATTTATCAGAAATACTTCCTTTTATTCTCTGAACATTTTACTATCAATTCTAATTTATTTCTAATTTATCAATGAAACATTAAAAAATATTAAAAACTTTTCTAATAAATAAATTTAAAAAAAAAAAAAGAAATATGTAAACGAATAGAAATAGATAGGATTAGTTGAATTGATTGAAAATACCGAAATAATTTTTTTCATCGTTTCTAAATTTCCTTTTATTGCTGCTTCGGTAAAAATTTCATCGTTCACTATAACATATCAATTATTCGAATTTATTTATTTATTTATAACAAATTACTCATTGGATTATCTCACTGAAAAAAAAAAGCGAAAACAAAAATGCATAAATAATATTACTGAAAAGTAAATAATATTAAAAAATTAGAGAAGAAATAAATTAATTAAATTAATTTAAGTGCATCTTTGATAAGATATGAGACATCAATCTTATCAGTGATCGATCATTCATAAAACTTTTCTATTGATTTGCAGATAGTTTTAGCATTACAAATTTGATATTTCAAAATTTTTAAATAAAATTTAAATTATAAAAAAAAAAAAAAAACGAACTGCACATAAAGATAAGTTTGAGATATTTTTGTATGCCTAATGCGCATCCAACTTTATTCAAATGCTCATCGTTTACTGTCACCGTACATTCTGTTTGCGCATGACAATCATAGAATAACTGGCTTAACACATCAATCACACAATCTGTAGTATTAAAAAATAATTTTCAAAAAAAAAAAAATTTTAATTTAGAAGTTCAAAGATTACATGCATTGAAGAAAATACTAAGCGAAGAAATAATTGAGAAAATTTAAATTTTATAAATTAAAATTTATCATATTATAGTTGAATGAATCTATGAAGTGAAGTTTTTTAATCTGATAGTGACATTTAAGTAAAATGAATATCCTTTTTTTTTTTAAGTAAGATAAAGTGAAATAAATTTAAATGTGATAGATGAAGAGGAAAAAAAATTTGTAATATGAATAGAACAAAGGGATTACTACTATTAGCTATTTAGCTTGTCACTACTAGCAATCATCAGTTAAACTTAATTTAATGCAATCTTTTTTGATCATATCTTATTGAGCTAAGCAATGAATTAATTTTAAATTTTATGTTAAAATTAATTGGAAAATTTGCAAACAATAAATTTAGATTAAATTTTATAATAATTTTATTGCTAAGATAATTTTTTTTTAGCTGGTAAATATTTTTGAAAACTTTTAAAACACATAACATATAGTAAAAGGAAAAAGAAAAGCATTCACTGTTAGTTTCAAAATTTCATTGATTAAACAGTTTTAAGCATATTATGTTAAAATAAAATTTAAAATTAAAAAAAAAAAAATTAAATGTTTATAGCAATTTTTATGGAATTATTTGTTAGATTTTACATTGAAAAAAGTTCAAATTTTAATGATCTAAAAAATTTTTGTAAATTAATATTTTCTATTTTCATTTTATAAAAATAAAATGATAAATTATTAACATTATCAACGTAATGTTTAATATCAAATATTTGTAATAATATTAAACGATAGTACATTTAGGGTCATATTTAACAAATCACAAAAAAAAGAGTTGTAAACATTTAATTTTTTAAATTTTAAATCATTTTATAAAAAAAAAGAGATTCAATATTGACGATTAATTTGACTGATAGCAACCTGTTTATTTAATATGCCATTTTTTTTTTATGTTTTAAAATAATTATTCAAGAGTAAACAAGTAGTGAAATCGAAGATCGCATTCGAAAGATTAAATTCGAGAATTTGAAAAAAAAATACTCCAATTAGTAAATTTAAAATTATATATTTCACATATATGTCATATAGTTCACGTTGTAATTTACGTCAATTAAATTTCATAAGTAATACAAATATTATATACCTTGACTAATTGGAGTATTTGGTGAGCAATGGTGCATCGTTCGCTCTTCAACTTTTCGGCCATACTGAGCCGAATAAATAACCAATCGTTTGTTTTGTTTGCAACTCAATTGCATTGTTGATCCTTCACAAAATATTTCCTCGTCGAATGATACTTAAAATTATTTATTTATTTAAAAATATTTAAATTATGAAAAAGAGGAAATTATGGATGGGTAATTATCACGGGTAACTAATTTATTCTAAATATAA